TGAGTCTGGAGAAGAAGATTTTTGAAATATTGATTAATTTTCCCTTTGGGGCCCCGCCCTGGCCCCAGGGGTCGGGGTAGGAATCTCAATTTTACAATTTGAAACCATCTACCTCCAAGGATAATTCTCACCAAGTAAAAATAATTTCCTACAGAAAGTTGTCAAAATATACCCAAAAGTGTTATTTCCCTATATAAACTATAGTAAACTTTACCCCCTCCCCAAGGGAGAACGGATAGCTCGGGGGTCCTGAAATTTACAATTTAAGTAAAGCCCCTGATGATCTTTCTTTCCACGTAGAGAAAATCACTGTAGTACCTCTGAGTCTGCAGAAGAAGATATTTGAAATATTGGATAATTTTCCCTTTGGGGCCCCGCCCTGGCCACAGGGGTGGGGGTAGGAATCCCAATTTTACAATTTTGAAGCCTCATCTACCAAGGAGGATTCTGACCAAGTTTGAAAAAAATCCATCCACTGGTTCTTGAGAAGAAGTTGAAAATGTAAAAGTTTACGCACGATGCACGACGGACGACGGACGACGACGGACGAAAAGCGATTGGAATAGGTCACTTGAGCAAAGCTCAGGTGACCTAAAAAGACAGCACTTTTAGGATTGTAATTCTATTAATGACAACAACAGCACTGTACACATAAACATTTCTTTACATGGCATTGTATTCATATTGGATACCTGTTTTGTACACATTGTATTGAGGAAGGTTGTTTATTGAATCTAGTATATACGTGTACTAAGACAGCATGAAAATAACCACGTACAAACATTGAACTGCTTTCATATAAATATCATAACATGCTGCATTAATGCCAACATAAAAATGTCCACATGATGAAAAGCCTAACGTGACAAAACACAAAAGTTTCAGAAACACTAATATTAAACTAGTTTGAAAACAACTCTACTAAAAGCTATTACAAAGCTGTGCAAAAAGAATATTTTCAAATGTGAACTGTGCAAGACCTATGTTTTCCTTAGGCGACTTGGGGAGCTGAACAAAATTAAGGATGAACAGTGACAACTGAATAAATGTTTTTCTCACACTCCAAAACGGAGAAAGAAAACTTAGTGGGTTAGACAATCTGTATACACAAATGTAAGTCATATCTGTAAATTCAGTTATCAAAATGAGGCTTATTGTATATCTGTACCCATTTCATCTTTTATGTCAAATAAACTAAATAAAGGGGAAACTTTCCTCTCTTCAGAACCATTTCTTTCTAGAAAACTGCATATATGTTAGGGCTTAGAATTCAAAAATTATAAACAGTTTAGAGAATTTTGTTCAATAATCTATTAAAATGTGTTATATCTCACCTTTCTGCCACCTGTCTAGCACATTCTCCAACTTTGATTTCAGTGCCATGAGGAATTCAAGTTTTAGTAACTGTTCTGATGATTTGGTCCCCTCCTTGTCGACCAGGCAGAACCTGCTGCCATAGTAACTGAGCACCAGTTTTAGCTGGCACACTCCTTCTGTCCTCATCCCAAACTGGCCTCGTTCCAGCGACTAAACAAACACATCCCAGACAGCTATATTTACATTTGCCCTGTAACTCACTGTATAAAAAATACCAGCAGAAATGCATTTCATTTGAGTATGAAAGCAAAAACTCATGATGTAACATGTGGTTTATTTATGATGTCACAGATTAACCTTGTTCAATGAGAGTCTTGTCGCTTTGCTTTGGATAACATGGAGAACGCCCCTGCGTCATACGTTCAAATGACTACGGTTAATTATTGGCACCAAATTTATTAAAAAGGGCTGTTCCGGGGCCGCCAATGTCTATTAAAGGACGACACATATACAAAACAAAGTAAATTAAGTAATTATTTAAGAACAAATGAATAAAATTAAACAATTGTTCTATAGTAAAATGTAAATATATGGATTGAACGGCAGTTTTTTTTAATTTTCATGTCGGTATGAACGCGAATCCGTTACATCCATATTAAACATGAAGCCCTAGCGGGTATCATGCAATATGGATGTAACCACTTTTGCGTTCATACCGGAATGAAAATTAAACAAGAATTCCACAGGAGTGGATGTTTTGCCTGCGCAACAGATGTTCTATTTATAGTAACGGTGACCTTGTGTGACCTTTGGACCTGAAAAGCACTCCCAAGCAAGCACTATTGGTAAGGAAGCACTGTATGAAGTCTGAACTCGATCAACCTAAAGAAACTTGAGTTGATTTAAGTGTGTTTACTGCCACCGCTTTGTTGGCGACTGTGATCTTTCCCTTCATTTATTGTGATTATGGTGCAAGCTATTCAGAACAGAATAACACTTTCGTGGTCAATGTTGCTACTACTTAAACTAGAACTTTGGCTTTGAGGTAGGAGTCTTTCACAAATAATTAAAAAGTTCTTGCATTTTCGACAGAATGCCCTTATTTGGTAATGAAAATGGGGCATAACTCTGCCGAAGAATGTTTAAATGCCACGATTTAAGAACTCATTCAAAGCATTCAGGTAATGAAACAACAAAGTAGTTAAATAAAAAATGGAGAACAATTGTTTGAGTTATCGTGTTAACAAGGAAAAGCTAACAGCAAAAATGAAGTACAGTGTAGCTATGTCAAGTGTGATACCCCAAAACGCGGAAAGTTGAAACTCAACAGAAAAAATACTAATATATGTTGAACATAATTGCTTCTAGCATTATCTACAAAATTTGAAAGGAATTGATTGAAAAATACAAAAACGTTCTTGCATTTACTACACAATGCTCTTATTTGGCATTAAAGGGGCATTACTCCACAAAATAAAGCACATCAACTTCTAAAATGCAAACTCGTTCGAGCTATACTGGTATGCAATATGTGTACAGAGTTTGAGTTCAATCAACCCAAGGGAGCTCAAGTTATCGCACAGAAACCTTGTTTTGGACGATGCAACCAACGCCGACAACAAAGTAATAGCTATATGTCGCCTCGCTCTGCAGGTGACACAAAAACCAACGTTCAATCCCTATATTAAAACGGTCTCAACGACACTTTATCATAATTGTAGTTACAAAGCTTGGATCTACAACAATGCATAAAATCAAGTTTCTTTGTACACCGAATATGAGCATTAAGCAATGAAATGACAAGTGAAGGTGGTACAGCAGTGGTGTAAATGTGGAAGGATGAATGAACGGACATGGGTCATTATAACTGACCGCCTACGTATACTCTCCCACTTCATTACAATGGCATCAAATAGGAGCATATCTTCCTTATCTGCTATTGGTTTCCTCACTCTAGAAGCAATGAATCAAATTTAAGGTACTGATTTAACTTCCCATGTGTGAAATTTATCTGTCGACAGCAAAGGGCATATTTTAATACCTAGTGACGATTATTTGTCGATAATAAAATATATATATTTACCTGTCAAAAAGTATATATTTACCTGGTGAAGACTACCTGTCAGCAGTAACGACTATATTTACCTGTCAATGAAGATCATCTGTAAGCAGTTCACTCTATATTTACCTGGTGAAGACTACCTGTCAGCAGTAACGACTATATTTACCTGTCAATGAAGACCATCTGTAAACAGTTCACTCTATATTTACCTGGTAAAGACTACCTGTCAGCAGTAACGACTGTATTTACCTGTCAATGAAGATCATCTGAAAGCAGTTAACTCTATATTTACCTGGTAAAGACTACCTGTCAGCAGTAACGACTATATTTACCTGTCAATGAAGATCATCTGTAAGCAGTTCACTCTATATTTACCTGGTAAAGACTACCTGTCAGCAGTAACGACTATATTTACCTGTCAATGAAGACCATCTGTAAACAGTTCACTCTATATTTACCTGGTAAAGACTACCTGTCAGCAGTAACGACTATATTTACCTGTCAATGAAGACCATCTGTAAGCAGTTCACTCTATATTTACCTGGTAAAGACTACCTGTCAGCAGTAACGACTATATTTACCTGTCAATGAAGACCATCTGTAAGCAGTTCACTCTATATTTACCTGGTAAAGACTACCTGTCAGCAGTAACGACTATATTTACCTGTCAATGAAGACCATCTGTAAGCAGTTCACTCTATATTTTCCTGGTAAAGACTACCTGTCAGCAGTAACGACTATGTTTACCTGTCAATGAAGACCATCTGTAAGCAGTTAACTCTATATTTACCTGGGAAAGACTACCTGTCAGCAGTAACAACTGTATTTACCTGTCAATGAAGACCATCTGTAAGCAGTTTACTCTATATTTACCTGGTGAAGACTACCTGTCAGCAGTAACGACTATATTTACCATTCAATGAAGACCATCTGTAAGCAGTTCACTCTATATTTTCCTGGTAAAGACTACCTGTCAGCAGTAACGACTTTATTTACCTGTCAATGAAGACCATCTGTAAGCAGTTAACTCTATATTTACTGGTAAAGACTACCTGTCAGCAGTAACAACTGTATTTACCTGTCAATGAAGACCATCTGTAAGCAGTTAACTCTATATTTACCTGGGAAAGACTACCTGTCAGCAGTAACAACTGTATTTACCTGTCAATGAAGACCATCTGTAAACAGTTCACTCTATATTTACCTGGTAAAGACTACCTGTCAGCAGTGACGACTATATTTACTTGTCAATGAAGACCATCTGTAAACAGTTACCTCTATATTTACCTGGTAAAGACTACCTGTCAGCAGTGACGACTATATTTACTTGTCAATGAAGACCATCTGTAAACAGTTAACTCTATATTTACCTGGTAAAGACTACCTGTAAGCAGTAACGACTGTATTTACCTGTCAATGAATACCATCTGTAAGCATGGTAAAGACTACCTGTCAGCAGTAACGACTTTATTTACCTGTCAATGAAGACCATCTGTAAGCAGTTAACTCTATATTTACCTGGTAAAGACTACCTGTAAGCAGTAACGACTGTATTTACCTGTCAATGAATACCATACTACCTGTCAGCAGTAACGACTGTATTTACCTATCAATGAAGACTATCTGTAAGCAGTTCACTCTATATTTACCTGATAAAGACTACCTGTCAGCAGTAACAACTATCTTTACTTGTCAATGAAGACCATCTGTAAACAGTTAACTCTATATTTACTTGGTAAAGACTACCTGTCAGCAGTAACGACTTTATTTACCTGTCAATGAAGACCATCTGTAAGCAGTTAACTCTATATTTACTGGTAAAGACTACCTGTCAGCAGTAACAACTGTATTTACCTGTCAATGAAGACCATCTGTAAACAGTTAAATCTATATTTAACTGGTAAAGACTACCTGTCAGCAGTAACGACTTTATTTACCTGTCAATGAAGACCATCTGTAAGCAGTTCATTCTATATTTACCTGGTAAAGACTACCTGTCAGCAGTAACGACTGTATTTACCTATCAATGAAGACTATCTGTAAGCAGTTCACTCTATATTTACCTGGTAAAGACTACCTGTTAGCAGTAACGACTGTATTTACCTGTCGATGAAGATCATCTGTAAGCAGTTCACTCTATATTTACCTGATAAAGACTACCTGTCAGCAGTAACAACTATCTTTACTTGTCAATGAAGACCATCTGTAAACAGTTACCTCTATATTTACCTGGTAAAGACTACCTGTCAGCAGTAACAACTGTATTTACCTGTCAATGAAGACCATCTGTAAACAGTTCACTCTATATTTACCTGGTAAAGACTACATGTCAGCAGTAACGACTGTATTTACCTGTCAATGAATACCATACTACCTGTCAGCAGTAACGACTGTATTTACCTGTCAATGAAGACCATCTGTAAGCAGTTCACTCTATATTTACCTGGTGAAGATCTACATAGGAAGGGATAGATTCTGGCTTCTCTTTTGTAACACACTCATACACAATGGAGGACAGAATCTGCAGGAAATCCACATCCTGTTGACAAAATTAAGAATATCCAAAATTAAAATGGCATTTGTACTGTAGACCATACAACACACACAACTAAACTCAAAAGTGAATACTTTCTACTGTTAGCATGATTTCTAAGACATTTCACAAGTCACACAGAAACTTTAAAAAAAAAATCTGAATCATGGCTTATGTGGATAAACATTTAAACTTTTTAGAGTTAAATACCAGTACCTTCATATTCTTTGTGTTTAGGAAGTATTCTGTCAGAGCGAGCAGTCTAGGGTCTGAAGTGAAGGCCTTCACTACATCAGGCTGGAACAGAAAATCTGTATACTTCAATTTGAAAATATTCACAACAATGGTGTTGATTTGATAACAAATATTTCTAGTTGCTAAGCCTTCATGTAGCAGTTTGTAAAACTGATAATGACAGACAACATTGGAACAAATATAAATATATTTCAGAAACCAGAACAAACCCGTTTTTTTTTTTTAAACCTCCCACCAAAACCGATTAGACTTCTATAAACACTTTAACAAGGCATTGTATTCATACTTGTTTTGTACTTGTTCCTTCTGTTAAACACATCGTACAAGAGAATCAATGAATCTGATGGATGCTCCCTGAAACACATTTGGCACCGAAAATAACTGTTTTTCTTCGGTATTATTCCCCACTTACCTTTACTGAAGAATGGCTCGAGTGATCACTGGTCAAAGATTTGGCCAACATGCTTCTGTATCCCTAAACACGAAGAACAAACATAACAATCCTTATTTTCAAAAAGTAAGCCTTGAAAGATATATCGCTGTCGACTTTAAAAGGAAAAATATGTGGCAATCTTTACATAAACCCATATTGTTGACATAAACCTCCCGGTATTTTTGTTAATTTGGGCTGATTGAGATTCATAGTTTGTATAATTGGTTTTAACAATATGCCGCATAAGGTAGGCAGCTAGGTACAAGACAAAATGACTTATTTACACTGTCCTCATTACATATTCTAACAATCAACTTTGACATTGATCCCCCATACAATAATACTATATTAATATATAATACATATATAGTGCCAAGTGTTTTTGAGATGAAATGAGCTGTAGTTTGGAGTCGCACAGCAAACACATACGACAATGCAAAAGACCTGAATTGAATGAATGTAATTGACTTTGAACTTTGATGTTGTGTAAAGCAATTTTTGTCTTGCTATCAAAGAGTACCTTTGGGTCTTCAACATAGGACAAGTGACCTGCCCGCTGTTTGACGTACAACGTCCCGTTGTTTTGTAACACCAGTCTGTAACCATCAATAAAGTAGATGTAGCAATACAGTACAACGATACAATAACAACTGTGAAGCTGAATGGGATTTCTCAACAACCTCTAAAATGAAAGTTTATGACGTTAATATTGACTGTTCAGGGACTTTCCGTGGTATTTTGGGAATAGCCACAAGCATAAAGGGGAAAATTTGGAAAACCACATACATGTATTAAAAAATAAATAATCTTAAAACACCAAGTAATACTGTTTTATGGTTTTTAATAGTTACAAAAAGTTAGTAACACTGCAGTTACACACAGAGAGTCATTATTCTGGACATGCTGAGCAATTTGGGCTGGCCACCACTTGAAAAACGACGTAGGAATAATACCTCTCCGTTGGACTATGGTTAGAAGCAGAAATTACAAAGGCATGTTACAGTCACACTTTTGAAGCTTTACACTAACTGATCCAGGTCTGTATCATTTAGTGCTTGGTCTCCTTCAATGTTAATTCTCATTATTGCATCCATGACTTTACAAATCAACCTGCTTCGCGGACATTGGCGTTTTAAGAAGAGCCATCTGGCTGAAACTTCTCTCCACTGATGGCAGTGTTAGAATGAGTAATAGAAGCAACTTTATGTAAACATGCATCATACCGGACAATCAGCAATGTGTAAATTACTCAGTCAATCAGCAATGTGTAAATACTCAGTTAATCAGCAATGTGTAAATACTCTCTCAATCAGTAATGTGTAAATACTCTGTCAATCAGTAATGTGTAAATACTCTGTCAATCATTAAGGTGTTGATACTCAGTCAATCAGCAAAGTGAAAATACTCTGTCAATCAGTAATGTGTAAATACTCTGTCACAGTCAATCAGCAATGTATAAATACTCAGTTAATCAGCAATGTGTAAAATACTCAGTCAATCAGCAATGTGTAAATACTCAGTCAATCAGCAATGTGAAAATACTCTGTCAATGAGCAATGTGTAGATACTCTGTCAATCAGCAATGTGTAAATACTCAGTCAATCAGCAATATGTAGATACTCAGTCAATGAGCAATGTGTAAATACTCAGTCAATCAGCAATGTGTAGATACTCAGTCAATCAGCAATGTGTA